CTAAATACGGGGTAGCCCATGCAACAGCACACGGATAACAGAAATGAAAAAAATGTGGAGTAATAGTAGGGATCGGGTATCCTTATATATACCTTATGGACAAAAAGAAAAATGATAGGAACAAACATTGATTTTTTGAACAGTCATAATTTTTCGTAGAAGGCCCAAACGGGGTCGGTTTTGGACGAAATTGCGTGAGCTCTCTGGGACATAAAAACCGAATGTTCCAACAAAAAAAAAATACGGATTTGGGGTCGGGATTATCCCGAGGGCTGGCCCGGGGGTCGGGACGCCTCGGGAGGGCGTTTACGTCCGTTTTACGATCAAACGGAATCGATTTTGCATGAAACTTTGGGTGAGCCCTCGGGAACATATTTAAACACACCTTGAACTAGGAGATGAACTTTTACAGCCCAAAAATTTCCCGGAGGGCACGGCGTGCGGGGAACGGGCCACCGACGTGCGTGGAACGGGCTCCCGGCGTGCGTAGAACGGGGGCCCGACGTGCGGGGAACAGGCACCCGACATGAGGGGCACGGGCGCCCGGCGTGTGTGGAACGGGCCCGACATGCGGGGAACGGGCGTCGGCGTGCGGGGAACGGGCCCGACGTGCGGGGAACGGGCGACGTTCCTATGATCGAGGCACGGCGTGGGGGGAACCAGACCCCATGGTCCCCCCTATATATACCTTATGGACAAAAAGGAAAGTGACAGGAACAAACATTGATTTTTTGAGCAGTCATAATTTTGCGTAGAAGGCCCAAACGGGGTCGGTTTTGGACGAAACTTTGCGTGAGCCCTCTGGGACATAAAAACGAAGGTTCCAACAAAAAAAATACGGATTTGGGGTCGGGATTATCCCGAGGGATGGCCCGGGGGGAGGGACTCCTCGGGAGGGCGTTTACATCCGTTTCATGATCAAAAGGAGCCTGTTTTGCACGAAACTTTGGGTGAGCCTTCGGGAACATATTTAAACATGCCTTGAACTAGAAGATGAACTTTTACAGCCCAAAATTTTCACGAGGAGCACAGCGTGCGGGGAACGGGGGTCCCGCGTGCGTGGAACGGGCGCCCGACATGCGGGGAACGGGAGCCCGGCGTGCGGCCAAGTCTAGTTTCACATAATATATGCATGCTTCCCTCCAAGTCCAAAAAAAAAAAAAAACACCAGCTTTACTGTTTCTGTGTGCGTTATCAGTAACCACTATATAGCTTGGAAATCAGGGGAGGGGTCTTTGGGTTGTTTTAGTTGGAAATTAAGCGTAAGGTGATCATAATAGGAACAACAAAATGACCCAAGGTCGAGCCTCATTTATAAATTTTAGGGGACCAAAAAAGTAAATTGTCACTTTTTTGGTATGAAATTACATATAAAAAAAAAAAGAATTTAAAAAAAATATTTGATTTAAAATGAAATTACATATCAAAAGAAAAA